GCCTGTTCACAACACTGAGTACTTTGGTCTACTGCGTCGGATTCAGGGCACAATTGGAGCGAGCAGCAGAACGAGACGAGGTTTAAAGGAGAGCACAAGAACTTGCTTGAACTTAGCAGCAGTGGTTCATACATTTTATTCTCAATAACTGCCAAACAGTAGTATAAAACATTAAGAACTTTCTCATAGCATCGATTACTTTCTAAGAACAATACATCATCGCTGTCATACCAAAATCTCATAACGCTTTCCTTTTTTTTTATCAGACATCCATTTCAAGACAAACAAACCAAAAGAATTAATGTTAAGTAAACGTTTTACATTCAAGAACGTTTTTTTTCTTTCCCCTATCAAGTTATTATCACAGAGATACAAAGTTTTGTTACCACAATGACAATTCAGTACTGTGCAAAAGTCAGAAGCCACCAATCAGTTATTTCACTTCCAGTCAAAACGGCCATAAAGCTATTTTTGTGTCAAAAAATATTAGATTTTAAGATATTAAGAGTTTTATTCCAAAATGCCATGTGTAACAATTTTGGAAAGAATAACAGCTGATGTATAATGGAAAACATTTTTATTTCTCTAATAAAAGTGGTATTACTATAGCACTGATGTTTCTTCTGTGTGTAAACTCCACCTTCAAGAACACAATGATAAAAAAAAATAAGTCAAAAAATGGTTTATAAAGCAAAACCACGAAACCTTTCCTATCTTTAAGATAACATTATACAAAAGCATCAACAAATAAACATAATACCTTTTTTTTTAGCATTTATTGTGTCCATCTATTTTGGTAGACTTACTTTCATCAAGAAATCTGCAGGGATCTTTTTCCAAACCTCCAACGTTCAGTCTTAGAATTGTTTTCATTTTCTGCTTCTCACAATCCAAATAATCCCACAAATATTTAGTGATGCAGAGGTCTGGGTGGCCAATCCATTGTTCAAATGCTTGATTTTCTCCTCTCTCTCAAAGATGAAAGCTTTAAGTGATGTTTATCTGATGGGGACAGTTTTGTCTACCAGGTCTTGCTAGTTGTTAGTGTGTTTCTCTGTAGCTTTTAATCTTTTTTTATTTAACTCCAGTTTTGGCAACTTCTGTTTTTTCACCTATTTTCCTTTGATGTTTTCCTTCCTTATGCAAGCAGATAATCTTCTATTTAATCTCCTGAAAAATGATTAACTTGTACTTAAAGGCTGTTTTGAGTTTACATTAAATAAAGGAAGCGTGGTCTCTGACTTTTGCACAGCCCTCTATGTACATGATTGCACTGACATAAACAACATCCCATACATACTCGGGATGTAAATCTCAAATTTGATTACATTTGATTAAACTACGATTCCACAACAAACAATTCAACGCATCATGAAATTTCAAATTTCAACAAGATTCGATTGTGGAGAATCTGCATTCTTTACAATACACCAGCGGCTGATTTACATACAAGGCACAACATTTTTCACTAATAAAAGTACTACAAAATAAGTTCAAATACATGTTCTCTCATCGGCATAGGAAGTAGGGGGTTGGGCAGCTTTCCGATGGGCTAAATCAAACATTCTTACATTCTTACAACTCTGGCCTGAGGGCCCCAGTATGGGCAGCCCTGCTATATGTGTAGAAAGCATTTACACAGTAGCAGAATACAGACAATAACAACTTTTCTTTAAGTATGAAAAATGTCCAAAAAGTTTACTTTGGTCAGAAAAGGAGTGCATGGTATTGAATGTTATGAGAAGAACTGATTACAGCACTCCAAAATCAATATCACTCAATCTCACTTTTAGAAGAAGATTTCAAACGGACGAGTCAGGACTGGTTGCCGTTCTGGTTCCGGCTGATCTCCATTACGGTTCTAATAAGGAGCAGCCCTGTCTGCGGCGTCGCTGCTGGAAGACTAACTTTCAGCTTTATTTTGAACTGATCAAAAAGCACCACCCTTGCTTGCTTATCCGAGATGACAGTTCATAAGGCGCATTCTGGAGCTAATCTGCAACAAAAAAGCTGTGCAGAGTGACTTTCAGATCACTTGATTACGTCTCTGAGGGCAACATGCTGCCTTTTGATTGTACAGAGAAGGAAACAAACATCTTATTTGATTAAAGTGATAATGAAGTGTGCAAAATACTAGATGAAGTATACAATTATACAGAGCCCTGCTGGTGGCATCCCGCAAAAATAAAAATAACGCGTGGCCACGACTTAGAAAGGCATGGGAACAAGATAATTTAGTCGTGGCCAGGGCTTAGTAAGGCGTGGGAACGGGAATGAGATAATTAAGCCTTGACCACAGCTTAATAAGGCATTATTAAGCTGTGGTCAAGGCTTAATTATCTCATTCCCACGACTTACTAAGTTGTGGCCATGCATTAGGATCTCATGGCCACGGCTTAATTATCTCGTTCCCATGCCTTACTAAGTCATGGCCACGCATTATTTTTATTTATACAGGATGTCACCAGCGGGGCTCTGTACAATTAAGTATATTGTCACTGTCGGAACAAAACCTTGCATCTTCAGTTTTGCTACTTTTATTTTTTTTTCCATAATTTGAAACCTAATTTAAATATTTACACTGTATCAAAATTTCATAACAAACAGATCAATAGAAATGTTCCAAAATGATTCTGAAAGCAAGTTTTTCTTTCCTTCTGCTATAAAGATGCTTTTTTTCAGATATGGGTTTGTTCCAATAGCAATGAAAAATAACAGGAAGATTCGATTAAACTGATGAATCTTGTTATCAATCCGTTTGCTCATCAATTCTTATGGTTCCGTCTAACATTTCATCAAAAATATACACAGAGGAGACTGCAGCGTACGACCCAGACTCAAGCTCACCTTGCATGACATCATGACCGTTACGCATGTGCAGGAAACAAACTGCATCCACTGCAGAAGCTCAGCATGGTGAGTAAGCCAGACACTAAATGCACAAAAGCCCACAGAGCATATCACTGTGTGCTTTTCACTCAGCTTCATTTAGTAAATAAAAAAATAAACAATGCTGGCTGAAGGGATGAGTTTGTATTTTGAAATCGCTCTTCTAGACTGCATGGGTAAACCATGCTATTCCGTTACCATGGTTACTTCTCGAAAACAATTATTTTCTCTGTGTTTTGGTCTCCTCTCCAAGGTCACTGAAAACTGAGCTTTTGGAAAATCTTCTGCAGAGTGGAGATTTTTAAAGGTCCATTTTCTGGGTTTTTCTTCTGAAAAGCGCTGACCGAGTGTACGTGCTATTTTGCTGTGTTGAGCTTCAGGACTCAGGCATGTAACATGACTGATAACTAGGCTGTGGTCAGTAATATCAAGTTTGATATGGTTATGGTGTTACTGACCACACAGGACCTAATTAGCTTACCTTTGCTTTATCATTAGTGGGAAAAATTATTTGTTCCTTTATTGTTTCTGTTTAAAAGTGTTTTCCAGCAGAAGATCTGTTGCTTAGTCCTTAATAAAAGTTATTTTGTTTTCTCGCAAATTACAGGACTAAGCAAAAGTTAGATTTAAAAAGTTAGTCATCATAATCATAAAACTTATTATAGAATGAATATAAATAGCATTAATACAAGACAGTGATTTTATGTATGTTAACATGTTCATTTAACCATTTCCAAACCTCTGCTTGTGGCAGATTCGTATTATTTGTACTTATCATCCATTAATCTGAGATAAAATTTCTTAAAAACAAAAAATAAATGCAAGAAATTCTTGTTACTTTTTACTGCATTAATGTATGTGTGAATTTAATTTTAACAATATGGTCACATGGCCAATATTATCAAGATAAAAGCTTTTAAAAGCTTGCTTAGGTGTTTTTGTACAGTACTATGTGTGAAATAGCACTGCACAAAAAGAGAAATCATGTTTGTAGTTTCCTTTTTTAATAAAATAATGTTCAACGTTTGTCAATTACTGAAAAAACTAATAACTAAACTTTTTTTTCCCAGTTAACTGATTTCAATTAATCATACTGGACTCCTTGACAATGGAAATAATTATTAGTTGAAGCCCTAATTTATTGTCAATGTCCAAAAAAAAAATATAAATAAACACAAAATCATAATCTCAAAAATGATAAGTTTAAAGAAGGGGGCAAAAAGTTCATGTAAAGAGATTTTATCCCAAGCAATTTTGGAGCATTTCTATTGGTCCATTCATCATAAAATTTGCACAGACTGTAAAGGGCAGCTCACGTGTTCAAATGATGTAAAAAAAAAATACTGACAGTGAAGATACACAAATAATGATTAAAAAAAAACCTTATCATCCATCACTAATCACTCAAAACCGATGGAATTTATGTACAAACACACTGCATACGATTCTCACTACAGCATCAACATGAATGACAGTGTGAATGATAAGCAAACGCTTCCCTGTAAAGCGAATGACCTCAGGAAGGTCCTGGAAGTCAAACCTATTTGCTTTTCAAACAGAGAGAGAAGAAGAACTGGGGAGTGAAAATCTTCACAAATTTTTAACAATCTCTAAAGCCGTCTTCCGCTGCTTATCAGGATACTGATGAAACTGCAAACAAAGATGCAAATCCAGATAAGACATACTAATAAAGTCCAAACATTTACTCTCTGTTGCAAGTACAGCAGAAATGAACGCACTGCTTCATTGTGGCTGTAACACATACTGAAATCCGGCCATAATCCTGTGCTGAACACTGACGATCCAGCGCGTGAGCCACGAGCCCGTGTGTGTGTGTCTTGCAGCAGGAGTGTGTCAAGCACAGGATATTAAAGCTGTCTATTCTAATCACTTTCTTACACAACTTTGCCCACTTGCCATTAACCACGCTTGCATACTCGATCAGCTTTTGGGGGCGGATTAAAAATGAACTCGCCAGCTTTTCTTTTCTCTCTTCTTTTTTTTTTTTTTTCATCAGTGGAGCGGTGATCCCTAGAAGGCAAATTGAAGGCTGCAGAGGGAGGTGGGGGGTGAGGGGGAGGGGGGTGAGGTGGAAGGGTGAGAGGACAGACCTTGTGACATCGGCGAATCGGATGGGGAAATACAGCACTCTGCACTTGGGCCGGATGAGCTGGTCCAAGCCTTTGGGCCGGTGGTCAGGCATGGTCTTCATGAAGGTGGAGATAGAGGACAGGAAGAAGTCCATGTTGAAGGCCGAGTTGAACACCACCACGTCCGCGACCAAGCTGGAGAGACGAGATGGAGGAAAAGAAAGTATCATGTTGGATGAGAGTGAAAAGGTGTTTATACATGTTCGGCTTTTAGAAAAAAAAAAAAACTTGCGTACTTATTATAATAGCAATTATAAACTGAATTTAACGACAATGTAGAATTTATACTACAATAACATACAATATATCATACCAATATATCAGTATAACATATATCATGAGAACATGTGGAATGCAGTGCAAGAACACTTGTACTGAAAATTCAACGAAGACTAAGTTAGAAGTAAGAATCACTAGAGGCTCCACGATATGATATTATCACGATACTTAGTTTGATCGCAACGTTACAGTCAAGCCAAATTTATTGGTAACACTTCACTTGAAGAGTGTCTACATAACACACTCATAACAGCTTAAATAAACACTTCATAACATGTTAATGAATGTGTAAATCAGCATTTATAAAGTATGTGTTTTACATGACATTATGAATATGGACCACTGTCATTTTACTGAGATGTTTTTCAAAATAAAAGTCCTCATTTTTTATTTTGGAAAAAAGTATATTATTTTCTGTGAAAGCCCTCATTTCTGGATTGCCAAAATAAAAGTAACTTCACTTTATCCTTTCGATAATGAAGTGCTTGATACTCATATTTCACCTATACTTTCCACTTCTTTCTTAAGCATTTGTTGCTTTGCGTGTTTACTACATGGACAGTAAATTACTCATTAATATGCTTAGGAACAATCATTTAACTGAATTTTAGTGTGATGGTGGAATTTATTGCATGAAGGACCATAACATTCACCCATTCCCTGTAGATGCTGGATAACCACATGAAAGTAAGTAGACTACTTTGCATTGTAATTTAAAGATCCATATAATACGCATTTAAGTCTGGTTAGCTTCCATCACTTTTGAGGTAAAGGCAAAACAGAATTTATTAATTCTTAGGATAACAGTGCAATATTTAGCCTCAGAGTGTCAATTAACCAATGCACAATTACACTTGTGCATTCTTCAATACCATAAGCAAGGAAGAACATCACTAAAAATAAAAGTGTTAGCATTAAACTTAAGGAAATAACATTTTCACCAAAAACAAATAGACTGTTGAATTAACCCTGTGCCTAAGTGTCAAAGCACCTAATGGCCAATGGGGTAAAGCAGGGTCATTTTTATTTTGGCTGTCCAGAAATGAGGCGTTGCACTGAAAATATACTTTTTCAGAATAAAAAAATGAGATCTTTTATTTTGAAAAATGTCTCAGTAAAATGACATAGTAGTCTATAGTAACATCATGTAAAACGTATGTTTTATGAACGTTACTTTAAACATTAAGATGTTATGAATGTGTTATGTAGACACCCTTCAAGTAAAGTGTTACCAATTTATTTATATAGCGCATTTTACAACAGGTGTTGTCACAAAGCAGCTTTACAGAAAAATCGGGGTCCAAGTCCGCATGAGCGTCGCCAGTGGCGACAGTGGCAAGGAAAAACTCCCTAACAGCAAGAGGAAGAAACCTTGAGAGGAAACAAGACTCAGAAGGGGAACCCATCCTCCTCTGGTTGACACCGGATAGATTTAGCATTTATGAAGATATATGATGTGCTATATTGCTATAGCTTATGCTGCAATTTGGCCAGTAATCATAATTACAATAATTAAAATAATTACTCACAATTAATCGTCATTTTCTGTAGTTAATTGTGATTATTCACAGTTTTGTGTAGTTATTAATGATTAATCACATTTGTGTTGTGCGCCAAACACTTGCCCTAAACACTTAAACAGCAGTGCATTTGGTTATAGCTATACAAATAAACAAAATATCCTTAACTAGAACGTATTTATTACTTTCAATAATCCAAAAACATTACTTTCATCTTGTGAACGCAGTGGCTGTGTGTTCCAACTAAGGAGTGTACATATTGTAGTGTACCGATACTGGCTTGCGCTGCCGTGGGAGGCGCCATGCTCAAGGTAGGAGAGACATTTAGTTTAAATAATTTGTTGTTTTTAATTTGATTATATGCACACGTTATTTCTGCTATACTGTGCTGGCCTGTGGACTAGTTAGTCCAGTGTCAATGCCTACCGTCAGGATAAAGTGTATGGCTAGAAGTGACCTGCCTGCTTCTTGACCTACCCCGGCTAGGGCTGAGCGGCAGTTCTCTCTTGCTACCTCTTCAATAAAAGAGCATTTGCCTTCAAAGCGCAATGTCTCCCGCATCTTCTTCTTCGCTGACACCACTATATCATATTTATCATTTATATAGACAATGGCTCAACTCCTCTGAGACTATAGCCTCACGTGGATTCTTCTTACAGTGAAGGTTCTCAAGGGGAACTAGAGCTCCACTTTGCTGTTGCTTTTGTTAGTTTGCTGCTCATTGATTTTTCAATAGGTCTCCCACGAGCACTATTCACGGTAGTCTGCTGAAGGTAGCACTTTAAATCTATTTAAAAGCTGTATTTGAAAAGGACGGCTACAACTGCAGTTTCCAACATAGCAACATACAAGCCGCAGTAGTGCTGCGGCTGGGTTCCAGCCTGGAACTACTATAGGTGGTTTGAGGGGTCAAACTAGAAAAATGCATTAAAAAGTGTTGCACTGTCATTGTGTCATTGAAATCAGTGTCAAGATGTATGTTCTTTACGGATACCAAAGAGTTCTTGTGAAGATGGCCTAAATAGCACAAAATGCTAAATTGTTACACTGTAAAAAGTGGCGCGTCAAAGTAGCTACTTAAAAAAATTACTTCATGTGGTAACAAGCAATCGTTCATTCAAAGTATTTATTTAGGTTGAATAAAAGTAGTTAATTGTTACCACATGAAGTAATTTTTTAAGTAAACTTGACGAGCCACTTTTTACAGTGTAACAATTTAGCATTTTGTGCTATTTAGGCCATCTTCACAAGAACTCTTTGGTATCCGTAAAGAACATACATCTTGACACTGATTTCAATGACACAATGACAATGCAACACTTAAGAGATAGGAGGTACCAATGCATGGCAACATGCTTTAATTATGCTCCACTGTTCATTAAAAAAAAAAAGTTTATGAGAGTTGACATCCGCATTGCTCAGCCAATATTAGACTTTGATTTTCAAACACATTCTCCTACAAATACATATTTAGCAACACTACTACACAGGGTGACTATAGTAGAAGGGTAAAGTAGCGTTAGAAGTCTGACTTTTAAGACTCTTATTGGTACAGTCATGTCATTCTTATTGGGGAAACGAGGGAAGCAAGCCCTGGTGTCCCGAGGGCAGCGTGTTATCCACCATGCTATCTAACCACTCCTACTAAGGCCACCACTACATTTTTGGTGTGGACTTACCTTTTTATGTGGAAACAATATCTAGCATACTATTTATCTACCAACAGGCTTAACACCTATTAAAAATACTGATAATTAAATTATAAAATATCTAGACTTCTTGTATCAATACTACGTTTTCCACACAAAGTGTCGCATTACTATGTTTCATTGTAATTTTTTCTTCTGACCTAAATATAGGTGCATTTTTAAACAGCATTACCGAAGGCTCTCCACACATTTCTAAAAACATGAAGTTGGGATAGGTCAATGTGTAATCCTCTCTGTGCCATTAGTAGGACTCTTTGGCTAGCAGTATTACCCACTTTCATTTTTTTTTTTTTAAATGAACTTTTAATTGTGTAATAATTAGTTTTAATTCAACATGAAACATATTTTCTGACAATTTAATACTGTCTACGATTAAAAAGGGTGTCCAAATACGTTTGACAAGGCACTGTATACATTTACACCCACATTTTATTCACTTCAACATTTCATCATTTACAGATGTTTAATTAAAACAAAGAACACAATGGAAATGAAAGCACTAACATGCAAATCTCAGATGCACGGTCAACATATTAGCAATACGGAGCAAAACCAGCAATACTAATTATATACAATAAAACATAAAAGCAAACACTAACTGGCAACGTTTTCAATTGTTACACAAATTAACACCGATTTAAAGAGTGACTCACGCAACGTGCCTCGATTAGCATTCAAATTAGCAGGACATAAGCCATGAGCTTTTAAATGTCACTACATCGTCATAATTATAAACAAGCACAGAACTTAACTAAGCAAGCAAAGTGGGTCTGAACTGTTGCCCTGACAGACAACTATCATAATGCATAACAATTACACAGTAGCCTTAAAGACTCGTGCTTAATTGCCATATCTAGATTAATGAAGATATTATGAGTTAAAATATTTGGGTTCTTCAAGAGTGAGAGCTCCATTATATACGCCATAATTAACCAACCACAACAAGACAGCTAATGCTTTTAATGACAAAGTAGGCCTATTTAGTAGAGCACAGCCAAAGTCAATCTGCACCACTTTGAAATTCTTCACTGTATTACTATGTGAATATTGCTCGTACACTTGAGGGTAAGAGAATACACTTTACTGGAAATTTACCCGACTGCATGACCTCGATATAAACCACAGCTGGTTAACAGCAATACTGAAACAGAATTAAACCACCATAACTAGGTAATGTATGGCATTACCATGACAGGATCTGGTTGTAACCATACTGGAAGTCCCTCTCTTGGCTTTTACGAACGGGGTAGATCAGCTGGTTTTCATGGAAGTAGAGTATCTTCTTCAGAGAAGCGAGGTCTGGTCTCAGGGCCACCAATTCAGCAAGATTAAGCACCGAACTGGTAAACAAAACCCTGCCGGCAAGAGAAAAATGAAGCAAAATTAAGGATAAGCATGGTGATTTTGATATATGGATATCTTGGTATCCATTTACCTAACTGGGTATTTGATTGATTGAATGATTGACAAGGGATTCAATTTGAGGAGATATTTCTGAGGAGATTAGAAACAAGATCATCCATTTGCATAAAGAATGAGAAAGTCAAAGAAAACTAAGTGAAAACAGGAGTTTAAAACATTATTAAATACTACTTTCAAATAAGACTACCCTTATGAAGCGTTCATCAATGGTTTAAAATGAGTTTATTAATGGTTGTTAATTAGGTCTTAAAGACCTTACAATCATTAATAAGCACTCACAACACAAACAAAAAGGGCAATAGTTACCTTGTGTTTGCCTAATAGTGAACTCCTCATTCAATTTTACTGTTTAACCTCAGATTTTTATGTTTACTGATCTTATTTTGTCTTTTTCATCAGTTAAAGCTGACAGCTTCAGCACACATTCATACTCATCAGATGTAACAGCTCACTTTTGCTGCTTATTAATGATTAATGAAGTGTTTATGACCTAATAACCATTAACAAACTATTTTTTAATCCATTCATAAACCTTGTATAAGGGTAGTCTTATTGTAAAGTGGTACTCATTATTAAATGATATGGAGAACTGGAACTCCCTACAACTAACTGTACAGCACTTGTTGTAACATCAGAAAAACACATCAGGTGACAGTGAACAAAGCAGTACTTAAAGCTGTCAAGCTCCACTTTTGCTTCAGATCTTTATAAAAACAAAGGAAATTGACTGCTGGGGTTCTGAAAACAACAAACTGACCACACCCAGATCTCAACATCATTGGATGTGTTTGGGCTTTCTTGAATGGTGAGAAGCAGAAAACGCAACCAACTTTAAAGACTGATTTTTTTTTGTAAGGTGTGGAAAAATACCTGCAGACTTCTTTAAAAAAACTGAAATCGAGTCTCCTGAAAAGGATGGAAGGTGTAATGAAGGCAGAGTGGACACACTAAATATAGGAAAAAATGACTTAGTTGTTGAGGCTTCAGTGTAATTTTCTGTTAAATATACATTTTCAACATATTTTTTTCCTGACACTGAAAAATACTTGAAAAATACCTTAACAGCTGTTTTGCATGGAAATTAAATGAATCAACAAAGAGTGTACAGTATTGTATGTATTTCCACAAACCTCATGTTAAGTGACCTTAAAGTGCAGGAGTTAAAATAAAAAATACAAATAAAAAACAAACAACCTATTGAGACTGTTCTGTGTGTGGGCATGTTATCTTAACCATTTCCAAAGCTCTCCTCAAGGAAGCCCAGTGTTCACCAATCCATCATTAAATTAAGATCCATCAAATCCATACAATGGCTGGAGTGCAACAAGAAGTCAGAAACCTTTTGTGTTCTTCTAACCAACTTATTAATAACTAAAAAAAAATTGTTACTTTTTACAGCATTTCTGGATTATTTGTATTTATTCTCATGTCATTTAGTGTATTTACTATGCAAAAACATTTCTGCAGCCACTTTTGCAAGCTACTGTAAATACTTCAAACAAAAAGTTAAGTGAACATGCAAATTTGTCACTGTTCTGTAGGTCAGCTGGCACAACAGTGAATCTCAAACATCTAAAACACAAAGATAAATCAGCGCTAACGCTAGCTGCACACAACAAACAAATATGTATTTTATAATTACATATTATTTTTTAACATTAATATATAATATTTTAAATATTATATAAATATTAAATAAATATTCAAACTTTAAAGATGTTACACTTTATATACTTTATATATATATATATACACATATACATATATATATATATATATATATATATATATATATATACACACACACACACACACACACACACACACACATTTTTTTAATTATTATTATTATTATTTATATTCTGTTATGTGTAAATTTCATGAAGAATGGACAAAAAGAAATGCCACAAAATTACTTGGGTAAAAAATCTGGTTCCATTGATTTACATTAAAAGTAAAGTAGGTTTTTTTCTTCTCCTGTAAAGTTACCATTTTGGAGATACAAGGTTTTATTCCGACAACAGCACTACACATATATATATATATATATATATATACACACACACACACACATACATACATTATATATATATATATATATATATATATATATATATATATATATAAATATATCGCGGTGTACATATTTTCAAATATCAAAAACTGTTCAAATCAAAATCTTATTTGCCATATCGCTCCAGATTGATTCAGATTCGGATTTAGTTTAAAAGTTGAACTTCATGAATATTTCTTGTCTAACATATGTTTACTTTCTTTTCGGTTGAACCTCATAAATAACAGTTGAAGATTCTGTTCTTCAAATGCATTTACGGCAGTAACAATCCAACACGTAACAAGTCACGTCTATAAATAAGTAAACGGCTTGTCTCAGATTGCTAGGTTAGGTGCATTACTGAGGGTCAATAATCAGCCCTTTGGGACACACAGTAAAGGTCTGGTCCCGGTCTGCGTTAAGAGCTTTTGGGAGGGGGAGTCCATGAGCTTTTGAAGCTGCGTCGCTCATCGCCCTAAATGAACCCAACCCCCCCTCGCCGCATGCTCTCTGTCTCTGAGCCTACGCTGCCTGCCTGCTAGCTAGTCTCTTTGAAGTGGTGAGCCCGCAGCTTCAAGACCATGACACGGTCTGGGCTGAAGCTGCATTTTTACACTGATCTAGGACCCTTCTCTCCTACACAAACCCTAACCTCCATCATTACAGAAGGAGCTGCAGGACCGGCCTCAGATCATTAAAACAGAGCCAACTCTCTGTGGCAGTGTTGACGGATTACAGTTCCGTCCCATGCCTTCATCAGTATCCACACCAACACAGGACACTGAAGCAGAGCAGATCAGGGTTCACTATTTTTAAGCCTCTATTCCTTATTAACGTACTGTAAACTGTCCAGGGAACACAGTCCAGCACTAATGAAACATGCTTAGGTTTCCTTTGAACTTGAGCTGATGAGTGAAACCGAAATCTGACACGTCTTTTCTGTGTGATTAGAAACGCAGGTGCGCATATACGTGTCTATGCATGCATCAGCAAGGTACTAAAGGTATTAAAGGGGAACTCCAACATTCGTTTTCCAAATTGAATGCATGAATCAGTCATTAGCTACAATGATTTTTTGCAAAAAAAATGTTTTAGAGCTTCAAAACATTAGCTGTGGAAATAGTCTGTAACACTTGATGAATGTTGACAAAACTTTTTTTCATTCAACTTGAGCTGATAAATTGTTGTTACCTGACAATTGACGATAAAAACCAACCTTGTAAACTTTTTTTGTACAAAATTGTCATTTTTAGTGCCAAATCAGAAACTTACAGACTTATATCTTTACAATGGTGGCAACAGAAATCAGGGGTTGACATGTCTACAACACCAAAACCACCCGTGAACCTACACGTGTCATCTAAGTTTTTATATGTAACGTTGATGATGGTGAAACAGTGATTGAAAAATGTTTTCTTTTGGGACTATTTTGCTGTACAATGCTTGTATGTACCTCTCTGGGAAAAAAAAGGAAAATAAAAAAAAGTGTTTTAGGCAAAAATTTGTAACCATTTTATTTAATATTTCCCAGTGTTCTTAAACAGAGAGCCATGGCTACTGTGGGCCTGCAGGGAAGTAAGTTTGATTCTGTCAATTTATTACATTTTCTGCCATATCTGAAAATCTGGTACTTTTTATTATTATTACATTATATCCTTATTTAAAAATAACAGATCTTACTAAACACCATTAAAATTAAATATGTGACAACCATCCACAATTTACAGTCTCACCCACTCAATAAGTTATCTTTAATGTCACAGAACAGGGCCATGTAAATATGTGAAGATATAAGGTGCATTCAGGTAATATACGGTCCTTGTTCGTTAAGAGAAAGTAATGATGGGGTGAGGGGAGCACAGTGGCATTTACTATCTAACCAAAAAGTTTTAAACTTAAAAGCATTAAACTCTTTAGACCTCTGGTTCCTATCACCACCACTGTGAATTGGTAAGTTTCTCTAGAACAGAGAATTTCATATTAAACCACTCTGAAGGACTCTTAACAATTTAATTATGCAGATATTGTGAAAAATTGGTGGAATTCCCCTTTAAACTGAACATCAAATTCATTAAACTGGCATCACACATGGTTTTCCTCGAAACAGACTCAAATATATGTCCACAGCCTTGATACCGATAACACAGATAATGAGCATTCATCGTTAGTTTTTGGGTCATCATTCATCCCATTTTAATTTAACTCTGTAACTCTGTGAAAGTCACCGATTCCGAACAATATACATACACGCCCTAAAAACGGGCACGGGTTCAGAATTTCTGATCGTTACAGTTTCCACTACGGCCCAGAGAGGTGGATTCCTCTTGTGGAATTTTGACTCTGAAAGAAGTCCGAATCCCACAGGACTGAGAAAATGACTGACTTGTATTTGAAACATGCCTCCCCAGGCCCGAATTCCACTGCGGTGTCACTGTGTGGCCAAAAGCTAGTTCTCTAGAAATGGAGATAGCTTTGCAATGACTCTGCTTCCTTTCCTACAAGCAAGACTGGCAAACAAAGGCTGGTTATGTCACTCATTAAACTTCCACAGTGTTCGTTGATCACTCCTTTCATTTAGTTACATCTGACTGGGCTGAGCAATAATATATTTTAAGTATAATCCAAACACCTTATACATATACAATACTACTATAAATAGTGTATATATATATATATATATATATATATATATAAATATATATGTGTGTGTGTGTGTGTGTGTGTGTGTGCGAGCGCGCGTGTGTGTGTGTGTGCGCGTGTGTGTGCGTATATATATATATATGGTTTTGTGGTGTTTTTGGTGTTATAAACACCTGCTATATTATGAATAATACCACCTTTATTACATACAATAATACAATAGTGTTTTCCATTTCCATT